AATACTTTGCATTTTATGCCTTTGTGGACTTACTTATTGTTTGGATTTGCAAGATGTAAATTTCTAAACTATCTGAAGAGCAGGGGCGCCTGGGTGGCTCAGTCGGTCAAGCATCTGATTCTTGATCCGCAGCTCAGGTCTTGATCTCAGGATCGTGAGTTCAAGCCCTGCGTTGGGCTCCACGCTGGGTGTGGAGCCTCTTTAAAACAACAACAACTATCTGAAGAGTAAATAAAAATTGAGAAACGTGTAACTATAACTTACAGGGTAACATTAGGAAATCTGGGCACCCAAAACAAGTAGACTCCAAACCTCACCACCCACAAGTGACCCCCGCATCTTTCAGAGCTTGCATATATAAGAAATGTGACTTTTACAAGGATTGGATTACACTGCTTTGCAACATGTTTTTTGTTTTTCATAAACAACATGCCACCATTATTTTTTCCATAATGGTAGTCATTTGGAGCATAAAAAATTCTAAGCATTAAAGACTTACTTTTCTGTTGTGAGGGTAATACATGTTTGCTGTAGAAAATTCGAACTCTACGGAAAACCTAAAAAAGAAAGGAATCCTCCTCCCCATATAACATTATTAACATTTTGGTGACCATTTTTCTAGATACCCTCCTAGGCCTAAACATGTATATTAGCATAAATTTCCATGCATGTGATTACATTATGTGTGTTATGTTCAGCTGGCTCTTTCTAGGCAATGATACACGGTGCTCCTTTTTTATGTCACTATGGACATCATGTTTTTGATAGTGAAATGGCAAGCCGTTGTACTGAACTTTGAACTTTGACTTTTGAAAACAATGATAAATTCACAGGAGGTTGCAACAAAAATAGTACAGAAAGATGTTGTGTACACTTCATCCAATTCATCTGCATACTCTCCTCCTCCTTTTATTTGTTGAGGCTTCCATCCTGGAAACTTCTTTTCTCCTGTTGCCTTCTGGACAGGCTATACCCTGGTCCTGTAGTCCAACCAACAACCAGGAGAGTAGCTTCCCACATTTTCTGGGGAGTAGCTTCATCTCTTCTCTGGTGGGGTTTCCTATACCCTATGTTGTCTTTCATGACTTACTCCCTCATTCTCTTGGAGCGCATCCTCCAGCAGCCTTCTGATGGGGGTGTATACTTTAAAATACTAATGATCCTGGGACACCTGGGTGGCTCAGTCCGTTAAGTGGCTGCCTTCGGCCCGGGTCATGATCCCAGAGTCCTGGGATTGAGTCCCACATCGGGCTCCTTGCTCAGCGGGGAGCCTGCTTCTCCCTTTGTCTCCCTCTGCTTGTGCTCTCTCTGTCAAATAAATAAAATCTTTAAAAATAAAATAAGGGCGCCTGGGTGGCTCAGTCGGTTAAGTGACTGCCTTCGGCTCAGGTCATGATCCCGGGGTCCTGGGATCAAGCCCCGCATCGGGCTCCCTGCTCAGTGGGAAGTCTGCTTCTCCCTCTCCCACTTCCCCTGCTTGTGTTCCCTCTCTTGCTGTGTCTCTCTCTGTCAAAAAATAAAAATGCCAACCAGATCACACCAGTGGCCACACCCTTTGTTGTCAGCAATAGCTGCTACCGCTCTCTAGTGTCAAGCCCAAGCTCACGCTCTCTAGGAGTCCAACTCCAAAACTTCTCCGGTCCCAAAAGGGGCTCCAGCCCCTGATCCCACCACTTGTTCACTGTCCCCACTGCCCACCCCAGCCCCTCTCCCCTTGCCCAGCGCCCATTCCATGGCCCTACTCTCGCCCTGGCCAACGCCTTCGCCGCCTCAGCCCCTCTCCTGTCCTTTTCTCTCCGGGCAATGCCAACCCAGGGCACCTCCACTGCTCTGCCTATCTTGCCTCCCTGTCCCAGCGGGCACGGCTGGTTTTCCCACCACGTGGACGGGCGTCAGGACCGTCAGCGTCTCAGTGCGGTCCAGCGACCCTACTGCCATTCTCTAGTCTGTTGGCTGTTTGTTAATTGCCTCCACCAGGCATCAGTTCTAGGCTCAGCTCTGTCACGGATCTCATGTATGCCACTGCCCCTTTCTGGGCCTCAGTTTCTCCACCTGTAGAAGTGGGATGGGATGGGGGTGAGGGAGACCAGTGCGTTTGATCAAGGGGTCCTTCAGATTCACGTGGACACTTGTTTAAAATGCAGTTCCTGGGCACCCCTCCTCCCCTGCCCCGACTCATGGTCAGTAGGCGTGGGGCTGGGAATTTGCATTTTAATAGTCCAATTTGGGGACACTTGAGTATTTGGTGATGCCTTGTCACCACCCAGAGTTTCATACATACAAACTTGTATGTCTCAATGCCAATAACACCCGCAGAGACCAAGTTGCACACCCAGACACGGCCACACGGAAGTAGGTTCCGTACACCACTAACTCCCTGGCAGGCTGCATGCCCTCTGACTCAGTCTCCCCACCCGTGTGGTGAGGTGGCTGGCCCAGATACCATCTGCATTCACAGACATCTCTGCATGCCCGTACCCAACTGCAGACACACAAACACAGATATGAAGACATGGGCAGACACACGTACCCTCAGAGATGGACCATATGCACCCACAGCTCTACGGATGCGCAGAGATGCTAACCTGGAGAGAGAGAGAGTTACAGATGCACCCGGAGACACACGCAGGCCAACACACAGACGGATACAGACAGAGACATGCAGATACTCACCCCTAAGACAAACACGGACATACATAAACACACAGACGGGCACTCACACTCCTCCTCTCCCCATTTTCCTGGCCCAGCTCCACGAGGAGAAACTCTTGGAAAAGAAAAACAATGTGAGAGCCCGAGGGGGAGGGGAGGAGGCAGGAAATCCCAGGGTGCCAGTCCGGCGCCCGCCATAGCTGCGCTGGTTATGGGGAGTGGTAGGAAGGCCCTCCGGGCTCCGTCTGCTGGGCCCTTCTGGCCGCCCCTAAGCGGACAGGGCGGCAGGGAGGGGGCCACTGCCATGTCCTCTGTGCCTCTGGGAGCCGCCAGGCCTGGCATGGGGCTCAGTGGGGTGGGGGCGGGCTCCTTCCAGGAATCGCCAGCCTGTCATGCAGGGGCAGGGCGGGTGCCACCCAGGCCCTAATGGCTTCCAGGCGCCCACCCTAAAGGCAGGGGTGGGCTCCAGACTCAGCTCCTGTTGCCCTTCCCAGCGGCCTGGCCCAGGCCCTCCTGGGGGCTGGGGGAGGAGGAAGGGGAGCAAGGGGGTAAGAGGAGCTCTGGACAGCCCTCCTGCCTTTCCTCTTGCAAGCCCAGGGTCCCCTGGAGGCTGTGTGTGCACAACGTGGGGGAAGGCGTGGGGGTCCCAAAGCTGGCTTTCTCGAGAAGCCTGCTCCCAGCACACCAGGAACCCTGCACCCTGTGTAGACTCAGGGCAGCCAGACCCTGCCTAGCAACGCCTCCCCTCACCCCCCCGGCTCCCACCCCACTCACATGACATAGCCTTGGGGACACACACACACAGCCCTAGTAACGGTCACATTCACTGAGAGTCCTGCAACACAGAAGCTCAACACAGGCTCTGGCTGCCCGGCCCGGCCCCTCCCCACCAGGCTCAGTGTCTTCTTCCCATAGGGTGTGGTGTTTTGTATGTGGGGTGGCCTCCTGATTCCCCTAGGGTGTCACCACCCCCCCCAAAGAGCAGGTTGGGGAGGGACCAGCCACCACAGGCCCCAGAGAGCCTTCCCCACCCCACCCTCCCCTCTCCTGCCTCCCACCAGCCAGACGGGTCTATTCCTGCTCTAATCCTCAGGCTTTCTGCCCAGGCTGTTCCCCCAACTCGGAATGCCCCCGCCCCCCGACTCTGAAACCCCCACCCGTCCTTCAAGCTCAGTTCTACCACCTCCAGGAAATGCCTTGATCTCCTCAGCCCCAACTGCTCCCCAGGGAGCACAGCCCTACAAACTGTCAGATCTGGCCAACTGCCCTCTCCTCTTGTAACGCACGCTTCTCTGACCCAGATGGGACACTTGTGCCATCCACCGCTTCTAGGACAGGCCTTGAATACAGGATTTGCTTAAAGCTGGCTGGTGGGGTGGCCAGCAGAAGGCTAAACCATGACCTTGCATCCCCTTAGTTGGGCAGTCCCTCCCCAGTGGGACTCAGATCTCCTGAACCCTAGTCTCACAGCCATCCTCATTGCCCCAGGCAGCTGCTGGCCCACTCTAGGACAGAAACTAGAATGTTTTGATCCCATACTTGCCTCAGGCTAGGCCCTCATCCACCTTGTCCACAGAAAGTGACCAGTGGTTCCTGCTGCTTGTGGAACTGTTTAGAAGGTCTCTCCCTCCTTCTTTCTCCATCAGCAAAATCCTACACATCCTTCAAGACCCTCTTCTGGGAAGCCTTCCCTGACTTCACACAGAGTATGTTAGTGTTCCCAAAGCACTGGCACCTCCCTGTTCTTCAGCAGTAGTCACTAGGAAATCTTGGTCTCTCTGGCTTTTAGCACAGGGCCCAGCATACAGCAGATGCTGCATAAATGCTTTCTAGGCTGATGGATAGAAGATGGACAGTTAGGGGTTCCCTAGTGAAGAAGGAGGATTGAGTGATCCTAAGGATAAGGAGTCATTTTGTGGCCAGGCTCCGAAACAGGCAGGTGTCTGAAACTGTCTGTGGCTAAGGTCAAAGCCAGAGGTCATCTCATGGCCAGGTCAGGGATCAGTCCTCTTACCCGAGGTAGCCTAAGTGGCCCACAGGAGAATAACTTTGTGTTTTGTCCTTAGCGTGTTTAGATAACTCTCAATATCCAGTGAGAGAAGTGAGCAATGCTGAAGCCTGGATGGGGGCCAGCTGAGGGGTTTGGGGGTCGCCCGTTGGCCCAACTCTTCCCTCAAACTCAGAAACCCCCTATGTCCTTCCAGAACCTTTCAGGTGGCGCTCTGGAGCTGCCCATGGCCACAGGCCTGGCTGTGGGCAGGGAGCAGAGCCCAGCAGGAAACCACAGAGGACAGCCTGATTGGATAAATGCAGGGTCCAAGGCTGGTCAGCCCACAAACTGCGGGCACCTGTCCTTTGGACGTGCTGCCTGGGCTGCAGCCCCTGGATCACCCGGAGAGGACTGAGAGGAGGGAGGGAGGTAAGCAGGGCCTGTAGGCTAGACCTGAGTCCCGGGGTAGGCACCCCTGGCCTGTCCCAGGTATCCCCATCCCAGACTGAGGAGTCACAAAGATGTCCCAGTTCACATTTAGAACACCATTCTTTATAATGGGCCAACTTGGGCCCAGAGTAGCAGCTACTTGCCCACATCCACACAGAGTACCAGCAGCAAAGTGGGAGTGACCTGGGGGGGTGGGGCTGGAGTGCTGGGATTGGATGCCTCCCCTCCTGGGTTACGTCTACCTAAGGGCACGATGCCCCTGGGCACACTTACAGGATGGGGTCCTCTGGCATCAGGCCAAGTGGCCAGGCATAGATGGTATGGAGTGAGTGAGTGCCTTTCACGCGGGCCAGCTGGCCTCTCAGCAACTCCTTGAACTAATCTCTCTGCTAGAAAGGACATCCCACCAGTCCCGGCTCTGCCACTGATAGGCTGTGTGATTATCTGAAACTTTCTGCCCTGTCTGGGCCTGTTTCCTTGCCTGTACCATGGGGAGATGCACTACCAAGATTCCTAAAAGCTCTGTCCAACAAGTGGGCAGACCCTGTGTCAAGGTGAACCAACCCGAACCAACCCACACTTAAGATACAGAAGCAGGAGCCGCGGGCGGAGCACGGGCTTGCCAGCTATCATCCATTGGCATCATCAGGACGGTGAGGGAACTGAGGCCCACTCCATTCTCCTCGCACTGAGCCATCGCTCTAACTGCCCCAACTCCTTCCAGAAATTCGCTTTCTGCCCTCCCACGCCATGAGTCGCGTCGGCCCTCACTTCCTCGCCCCCTCCCCAGCCGCCCCGGTCCGGCAAAGACGCCCCGCTCCCTCTAGCGGCTGGCGGAGGGCAAAGGGGGCTCCTGACCCCGCGGTCCCACCCACCTCGCCGCGCGGCCCCCATTGGCGGCTACCTCGGGCGGGGGCGGCGGCGCCGTGCTCCCATTGGCTCGTGCGCCCGTCCATCCCGCACTCGCCATGGTGACCACGTTGGGTCCCCCGGGAGAGTTCCAAATTCCGCCCCCGCCCGCCGCCCCCCTCCCGTCCGGTCCCTGCCCGCAGCATTCCGAAGGCGGCCCTGCCCTCCCCCCCAACCCCCGCAGCCCCTCCACACACGAGGTCCGGGACCCCGGGTGGTGGGGGGACCCCGGGGAGGGGGCTAGGAAGTTCTCCTCGGAGTTTGGGGGTTGCTGCGGACGCTGCGCCCCACTCCTTCAGCACGCCCCCAACTTAACCCCTTCCCTCCCGCGGGCTCGGCGTCTGGAGGGAGTTCCCGGGACGCAGTGGCTTGCCGCCCCCTGCACTGCCGCCCCCGCTCACCTCGGCCGGGGACCCGCGGGCTCCGGACGTCCGACCCGCCGCGGCTGGGCGGAGCGGGCACGGGGCT